AAAATGCCGTAATCACCACAAAAGAGGGGAATGAAGACAACCTCAGCGCTGGCACGCTGTGGAAGGCAGAGCCATTCCTTCACCGTTAGTAATTATTTTTCTTAATATTCTCTTTAGTTGAGACACTAAATTTTTTATTGAAATAAATTTTTTAATTTGTTGCTAATTTGGATGCATCACTATTGCATGATATTTACACTCGCAATTGCAGGGATTTGAATATAATATAATATTATGTAACATAATATGATTAAATATTCTTGAATAAATATTTTTTTTATAGTCGTAGCGCTCTGTCTGAATAAATATATACACCCGTAGTTAATAAATAAATGATACAATATGCACAGACATTATTACAGAAAACGCCGGTGACATTCGATGTCACACCTCGCTTCCTCTGGAAATGATTTTTCACTAGGGATGGGGTTGAATGTTTATTAGATGATTAATGTTTTTTTAATATTTTCTTCGTGAAGTGCTTCGTTGCTTAATATTTAGTGCCCGTGATTAATATTTTCTTCGTGAAGTGCTTCGTTGCTTAAGTTTGAATTGCATTTGGAACGAAGGAATCCAGCCGTAGGTAGGGTGGGTGAAGTTAATAGCTTTACTCTGGACTAGTGATGAATAATAAAAAAAAAATTCGGATTTTCGTATGTGATGTTGATGGAATATCGTTGATTTCATTCATAAAGTCTGATACTCCATGAGCATCCCAACATGATTATTTGATCACTGGTTGTCAGTGGATGGTTGAAGTTTGAAGAATGAAGCCATTGAGATGTGTTAGTTGATGCTAATAAGCTCGTGCGTTGAGTATGGTAGAATATATTGATATATCCAAGAACGAATGAAGTTGCGGAGTTGTAGTTCTCGAGTTTGAGTTAGGTTCGTTTGAGGGTTTATACAAAATAATGAAGTGCAGTGTAAGGGTAAATTACGCATTACTATGACACTGGGTTTACATTATTATGACGCTGGATTTGCTCGCTTTAACTTATTACAATGAACTACTCGTGATTTACGTTTGTACAAAATTATAACATTATTATTATCTAATATATCTAGAACTTCGTGAGGTCCGATATACTCTGATTCGAATTTATTTCGCTTTGGTTTACATAATATATAAATATTTCATCTTTATTATAATTTGAACATTGAAGGAATTCGCATTTTAATGGATGTAATTTTAAATACGCGTTTTGTAGACGCTGGGCTAGTTTATTAAATTCTTTTCCATGTTCTTGGAGCGATCGTGCGTATGTGACAATGTGATTGAAGTAAACGAACATTTTGGTTTCCTGTAACCATGTCAAAATGGTATCTATTAAACGTTGGAAAGTGACTGGTACATTTTTATATCCAAACGGCAATCGCGTGTACTCATAGGTACGTAAGGTATGGAGAATACTATTTTTCTCTGCGTCTTTTTCCTCCATTCCAAATTCATTAAAATTACTGGTAAGTTCGAACATAATAAAGTACGTAGGAGTTGACACTTACATAGCTGCCGTAGCGTGCTGACATGTGTGATTGTGCTCTGTGAAGTTTTTATTACAAACCCGGTGAGTTTACGTTTCTCGAAATCCAACGTAGCATAAATAAAATAAATCTGGTGAAGAATCGCGTTACTGGTTCACATTCAATATAGTGCCTCTTGATTAGATTTTCCTAACTAGGAAATCTATATCGAAGATGAAAAATCTCCAATTGCAAGCGATTCGAATTTAAACCGCAACAGTTTTCCCCCTCCGTGGCAACTCTCTGGATCGTCGCTACAGATAAGACGTGATAATAACAACAATAAGAAACGTAGGCTAGATAAAGATGGAGATATAAACGCAGCCGCATGCATATCGTCGATCAACCCTGGTAACAGTACGAATAGAATACCAGATTCTATTGAAGACCCTACGGATGTCGTTGAAGCAACGACAAATCAGAATCCGACCAAAGAATCCGCTCCTCTACCATTAATTCTTAACAACATTATTGACATTCAAACAATGACAAACTTCTTGGAGAAAGTCATAAACAGGAACGAATATAAACTGAAAATCAATAACAACCACATAAAAATTTTTCCGACCAACCCCGGTAAGTATAGAAAAATAAACACTTACGGATGCTCAATGCAAATTTCCATACAATCCAATTAAACCAAGAGAGAGCATTTCGTATTGTCCTTCGTGACATCCATCACTCGGTGAACTAAGACGAACTAAAAACTGAATTTTCGAAACTTGTTCATGAAGTAATTAATATCAGTAACATTAAACACAATATTACAAAGAATCCACTATCTCTATTTTATATTGATCTAAAACAAAAAGCTAATAACAAGGAAGTATACAATATAAACAGATTAATGAATTCTATTGTCAAAATCGAACCGCCCTACAAAAAAAGAGAGATCGTACAGTGCAAGAAATGCCAAAGATACGGACAAAATTATTCTAACATTACACACAAAAATATTCTAACACCGCGTATATTATTGTGTCAAATGCTCTGAGCCTCACCCAATAGCACAGTGCAACAAATTGGCCGAAACTCCAGCAAAATGTGTTCACTGCTTAGAGGAAACCACACCGCTAGCTACAGGGGATGCCCAGTTTGCAAGGAATTCTACAGTAAAAAATTTTCTAATCCTAAAATCATGGACACAACGAATCATCCACGAAATGCCCATAACTACACTATTCAACATTATACGCCCAGGCGGTCCATAAAAACTTATGAAACGATATATGATTTTACGTTACAAAGTAGTATTCCTGGCTTTCAAAACATTGATAATTTTCGCAGACTGGAGAAACTAATTGAAAAACAAATGGAGCAAATCACTACCCTAGTGTCATTACTAACAATTGTCGCAAATAAACTGACATCTAATACATCAAAATGAACCACTACGTATAGCACTCTGGGACGCCAATGATCTAGCCCAGCATAAAAACGAGCTAGAATTCTTCTTAAATAGCCAAGACATACAAGTAATGCTCATTTCTGAAACGCAGTTTATAAACAAAAATTTCCTAACATTACACGGATACAAACTCAATCATACATAACTTCCGCGTGGAAGAGCCCATAAGGGCTCTGCAATTATCATCAAATCCATTGTGAAAAACTATGAACTCCCATCATTTGAATCAGACTACTTTTAATCAACGAATTTGGCTATAGAAGGCTGGCATAGTCCAGTTACGCTATCTGCGGTATACTATCCCCCTAAACACAATCTCTCTAAAGACAGCTTTGACCACTTCTTCGAAAGCTTGGGAGAAATATTCATCGCAGGCGGCGCCTTTAATTCCAAACATCCACAATGGGGAAGCAGAATCATCACTACAAGAACTCTACCAAATTCAATTGCCTAAGTCCAAATGAATCCTCATATTGGCCAACTGACCCAGACAAACTACCAGATCTGCTGGACTTCTTTGTGATCAAAAATATCTCTTCGAGTTTCACAAAAATCAGCTCTTTACTAGAACTTTCTTCAGATCATACACCTGTTATTGCTGTTATTGAAAACCGGCCAAGCGGACGAATTCACAACCAACTTACAAACTGGCAAGAATTCAGAGAAGCTTTCAACACATCCTTAACAAGCCTGTTGCCGCTAAGAATAATATTGACGCAGTAGTGGATTGTTTTAGCAACAACATAATAAATGCAATCCGTTCCTCTTTACCCATTCAGGAATCCATAAGAAATCAGGCCTATCCGGACTACATAAAGAGAAAAATCTCAGAAAAACGTAAACTCAGAAGAATATGGCATTCTAGTGGACTATTTGAAGTCAGGCGTAAGCTCAATAAAATTACGGCAAAACTGACGAAGTCCTCCATAATTTCAAAAACAACTGTTAAAAATCTACAGAACTTCTCGCCCACTCCAAACAATTTCTCGTATCCGCACTACGCAAGGAAGATGGGCACGTAGTCCTACAGAAAAGGCGAATGTGTTTGTTCTCCACTTAACTGAAGTATTTAAACCTCATTGTCTATCGACGAACTTAGAAGAAGCAGAGATTCTAGATTACCTACAATCCCCTATCCAGATGTCCCTTCCTATCTATACCTTTACTGCCGCAGAAGTGAAAGATGGTTCAGCTTCTCAACTCCAAAAAAAGCACCGTCGCACGATAGAATAAATAACGAAGCGATCACACAGCTCCCGAAAAAAGGAATTGCACTCCTCACATCGATATTTAACGCAATCTTTCATCTAGGGTATTACCCAAAATCTTAGAAACTGTCAATCATCTCCCTTATCCATTAGCCGAGAAAGCCGATCCACGAGGCAAACTTGTATAGTTCAATCAGTTTATTGCCACACATTTCTAAGTTATTTGAAAAATTACACATCAACGCTTCCATTCCATATTAAAAGAATTGGAGGTTATTTCTGACCACCAGTTTGGCTTTCGTAAGCTGCATTCAACAATAGAACAAGTCCACCGATTAATTTATGAAATCAGTCAAGACCTAGAAAAGAAAGAATACTATTCCTAAACATCCGAAAGGCATTTAGAAATATCCTACCTCATTCTTACTACTTCATACTTCAATCATACGCAACTAATAGACCCTTCAGAATGAGATACCTAGACGTTAACTGAATTCCTATTAACTCCGAGGTTCCGCAAGGTAGTGTCCTTGGACCCCTCTTATATTCCCTGCATACAGACGATCTACATACTCCCTCAGAGGTACTCACTGCAACATTCGCGAATGATACAGCTCTATTATCATCTCATGAAGATCCACAAATAGCATCTACGTCTCTTCAAGAAAGCCTCGCCGCCTTGGAAAAATGATTCCACAAATGGCGATTTAAAGTAAACGAAAGTAAATCAACGCACATTTACCGTACGAAGACAAAATTTCACGCCAGTGTCTTATAACAAATCAATAATTCCGACCAAAGATTCGGTTAAATACCTGAGACTACACCTCGACAGAAGATTAACGTGGAAACAGCATATAAAAGCTAAATATAACCAATTGAAGTTAATAGTTAAACAATATTACTGGTTCGTAGGTAGACGGTCAAATCTAAGCCTAAAAAATAAACTACTACTCTACAAAGTCATCTTAAAATCCATCTGGACCTACGGAATTCAACTTTGGGGTACAGCGAGCAATTCCAATATCGAGATACTTCAACGCTTCCAATCCAAAACAGCAAAAATAATCACAAATGCATGGTATGTAACAAACGAAATAATCTACCGTGATCTCGGGATCCCTACAATTAAAGACGAAGTATCAAAACAGATGCAACTCAAGCGTGAGTAACCACCCTAACCCTTGGTCACTCAACTGTTGGATTCTACAGTACACACACGACGACTAAAAAGATACTACTCTCTGGACCTTCACTATAGATTTATATACATATTTACACTATTTACAATTAGTGCGAGGATGGTGCAAGGAAATGAAAGGATTGTATTTTGGTGATGGGTAAGGTGAGGAAAAGTTGTGCGTTTCGTCTCAGCGTCGCTGCCTAGACTCATTAGTGGGGCTGATGGCAGCGACCCCTTACTCCAGACGCTTGTTTTTTTTTCTAACTACTCGCTAGGCTGGAGAGGCACCCATCCTAGCGGTGTTCCGCACTCTGTTTGCTTAACATCGTTAGACTTGATTTTTTTGATTTTTAGATACTTTATTACAAATAGGATTATGTACATAATAAGATATAACAATAGTTTACATTAGTAGTACCNTTTCGTACATCTATTAGGCTCTCTAAGGTTGTCATTTCGTGTGCTAATGCTTGTAGTTCGCTTGCTTGGTTATTTTGCCTACCATACTGCTTGCTATAGCTATTGCTGTTTGTTAATACTTCCTTATATATGAGGGTGTGTTGTGCTCTTGTATTCCTGTTCGATTCCTGGTTTGTTCCTCTCATTTGGGATTTTTCTTCGTTTAGTACCGAAAAATTTATATTGTTGTTACCTGATTGCTGGGTTGACTGCTGCCTCTGGAGCTGTAACCGTTGTTGAGGTACTTCTCTCGTTACTGTCGTCTTCTTATTTTTGTTTATCCATTCCAGTCGTTGAATGTATGTTGGACATTTAATGGAGTTCGCTGGGTGATCGTTCCCACAGTTAGCACATGTAGGTGCTACATTCCTGTCTTTTATGCATTCATTGGTTAGGTGGCTATCTGCACACTTGAGGCATTTAGGTTTGACGTGGCAGTTTGAGGTAGCATGTCCCCATTCCTCGCAACGGTGGCACTGCGTTATTGTTTTCTTATTAATGTATCTTTCCCACGTTATTCGCGTGTATGACAGATATTTTATTTTTTGGTTTAATGCTTTAATGGTGACATTGTCTTTCATTATAATCATATAGAGCGGTTTAGCAGTGCCTCTCATAGGATTACATTTGACTGCTTCGATGCCGAGCTTTTGGAGTTCCTGCGTGATGTCCTTTGTTGCTAGGTCGGGTGGCAGTCCGTGGACTACGAAGACCCTTGTTTTGTCTTTTCTGTTGGTGTAGATGTGATATTGAGTATTTTCATCAAGATTCTTGATTAGTTCATTATAGTCGCTATTTGTGAATGTATGTATGCTAAATCTGTTGGTTGCATATCTGATGAAGAGTTTTTCTTTGACGTACGTTTTAATTTTTGCTATTAATTGAGTATGTGAATTGCTATTATCGTGGATTACTACGGGGGGTGGTTTTTCCTTCTTTAATTTTAGTTCCTGTTTGGAATCGTCATTTTCCAGGTCCATTCCAAGTCTGTTCAGGTTCAGGTTCGTCTTGATTAAGAACTGCGAATCTGTTTTTTAGGGTTATGTACGTTGAATGATTTTTGTTCATTTTTTTATTATCTCTTTCGATCAGCATTCCTTTCCTTTTGTTGTTGTTATTATTAGTAGCTTGGATTAGTGTGCTAAATGAGCTACCATGTCTGTCTGCTTTTTCCTGTCCACGTGGTGGACACTCCTTGTTGAGGTTATTTTTATAGTCACTTAATTCAATGATTTGTGTTAGTTATTAGATGGGTTATGGTCTATGATTTTTCTGCACTTTTTCTGCACACTGATATGCACCACACCATATACTTCACTGGACGAGAACGAGTGTGGGACGAGAACCGCGGAACGAACCAGTTTTTCCGTTAGACTTCGACGCTAGGCGCACAGCCACTTGCGGCTTGTAGAAGTCGGTGTTCGAAACTCGTACTCGAGGGACTCTAGGCCGCTACATCACCTCCTTCCCAGTGATAGCGATACTGAGAAAAGGAAGCCTATGGAGGAGTGGATGTCAGATGATGGTGCTGTTCGCCACTCCTTTGTTTGTTGCTCGGTCCTGGTATCTTTTTCGGAAGTTGGATTACCCAGGGCCGGCCTCTTCTGTTGGAGATTCCACGTGGCTGCGGTTGGCGGAGACGCAGCGTGTACGTGGCCGGCTTTTTCGTTGTGACTCCAGACGTGATGCCTGCATACGCGCGTGTTACCGTATTGCCTTCTGCGACCATGCCGTGGCCAATTATCGTTGTCGTGGCATCCTTCCTCGATGGGCATCTGTGTCCTTCCTGATGCATCCTCGCTGGTGTGTCGTCGTCCCTTCCTTTTGTTATTGATGTTGCTTCTCGATTTTCCTTGGTTGCGTGTTCACATCATCGTCGGGCGATCACCAGTTGAAAGGTTGGTAGTATATGACTATGGTATATACATTTACACTATTTACAATTAGTGCAAGGATGGTGGAAGGAAATGAAAGATTGTTCGAGTGTTCGAAACTCGTACTCGAGGGACTCTAGGCTACAGACTCTAGTAGTAGTAACTACTCTGCATGCCACAGACCCACGCCAGCCTACATATATATAATCCTCAATGATGTATATATTGATTGTAATGCTCTTAACGAAGTAAAGAAAAAAAAACTGAAGTACTTCGCACTTCTGAGTTGGTCTAAAATTTTTAATATGCTCGATAGGGGGTACGCATCTGGAATACGTTATTCTTTTAACGCTCGAACTTCGGTAATCGATAACCTACACACCAAAAATGATATAACTTAAAAAATATAGAATTTATAAGTACTTATAATACTATAATATTAATAATCAAAATCTGTCTCCGTAACTTAATTTGATTTATGATATGCTCGCGTAAAAACGGCTATTTTGTGAGAGAAATATTTTTGGTATTGCCAATTAATCTTTCATTACAATGAACTTAGGAATATTGTTCCGTCGACCAGTTATGTTATAAATTCCGAATTTCCATAAGGATGTGATAAAGTACGTATTAAACGTACTAAAATACGTAATTTACAGTTATATACTACGTG